GTGACGCGCCCCGCCAATGGCACGCCGCCCCGCCCCCTGCGACCTGGGACCTGGGACCTGCGCCCGCGCGCAGCTGCTTATGGGACTGTGCCGGCGCTGGGAGGGCGTGGTCACCACGCGGGGCGCGAACGCCTTTCCTGACAGCAAGGAAGGGCGGCGGCCCGATGGTCTCCACCGACGGGAGGGGTGCGTAACTGCTGTCTGGGTCCCCCACGACCCTAACCCCGATCCCAACCCCAATCCGGAGCCAAGCCTCTCAGGGCCGGTTTCTGGTCTCTGAGGAGCCCCCACCCGCGCCCATGGCCAAGTCTCCACCCCTTGGTAACCAGGTGCAGCTCAGGCCCGCTGGACTTCACCCAGACCTATCCAGAAGTCAGCGGTTGGTGCGGGCCTGGGGGGTGGCGGGGACTGGCAGAATCTAGAGGCAGTTGGCAGCTTCTGGTTGGGACTGCAGCCCAAATGGGGTCCCAGCCTGTGGTTCACAGGGCATGGCCCAGGAAAGGGATAAGGCTGTTCACCCCACCCAGCTGGCACCAAAAAGGCCTTCTCTGGCTGTCAGACTAGAGTCCCAGGAAGTGGCTCTGGGGTCTGCACTGTGAGCCCCACAGGGAACTCCCCAAAGCCCTGATGACGGAGGGAGGGCCCCAGTAGTGCAGGGGTGACCACACCATCTATAGCAGGTGCAGGTCTCACCTGCGATCCAGCGTTGGCACCCCCAAGGACAGCCCTGGCCATATAGCTTGTGGGTGAGGGGCTGGCGGGCACTGCCCAGAGCACAGCGGGCCTTATCCTGGCCACCCCAGGTCAGCAGAGGTGAAAGGGTGGTTGGCAGAGGGGGCAGGGCCCTTCCAGAGCCAGGAAGGTGGGCATGTGGCCCTAGTCACAGCAGCAGGCCCACCAGGACTCCTTCCCTGGGCAGCACACCAGGCTTGGCTCTGTTCCTGGGGGGACAGTGCGGCTGGCAGCAGAGGCAGTGGTAGCCAGAGTGGTTACTAGGCTAAAAGATCTCCGGCTGCCCGGCCAGAACTGCCTTGTCACTTCCAAAGGAAACAGACCCAGACCAAGACGGCTGTGGCAGCAGGAGGGGGTTGGTACAGGTAACCCAGGGGCCCGGGAGGGCTGTGGAGAGGCCAAGGACAGCTATGGTAGCTCCTCTGACCACCATGCGGGAGTGACAGGACATGGCAGGGACTCCGGGGAGGGGGAGGGCCAGGACCTGGCCCACCACTGCCCGGCAGGGACTCCGGCCAGGGGGAGGGCCAGGACCTGGCCCACCACTGCCATGAAATGACCAAGCCGAGAGCCGGAGTGCGAGTGCCAGTGTTTAATCGCTGAGGGTCCAGGCGGGCCGGGTCAGATCTTGTTGAAGGCTGCGATGTCAACACTCTGCACCTGGGGTAGAGGCAGCGGTCACAGGCTGCCCTTCCCGGCAGGGCCCCCAGGGCTGGCAGTCCCTCCCACCGGGCTGCATGGCCACTCACGTGCTCCTCGAACTTGGTGATCTCCTCCTCCAGAAGGTCAGTGCCCACCTTGTCGTCCTCCACCACACACTGGATCTGCAGCTTACGGATGCCGTAGCCCACGGGCACCAGCTTGGAGCCGCCCCACACCAGCCCATCGAGCTGCACGGAGCGCACACAGGCCTCCAGCTGGCCCATGTCCGTCTCATCGTCCCACTGCAGGGCAAGGGACAGAAGGTGGGCAGGAGAGGCTGGGTCAGCCATCAGCAGCTTCTGAACACCCCACCTTTGGACTACTGTGAGCACCTGTCTTCCTGGCCCCCCAAGGACCCCCGGAAGGCCAGGTTTCCACCTAACCTGCCTCAGTGTGTCCCTTTAAGTTCAAGCAATTTCTTCCATGAACAAAGACAGTGTCCCCAACAGGACCCTGACACCACGACCCTCAGCCCTCACCATCACGGCACACATGCCCAGTGTACTCTGGAGGCCAACCTGGACCTTCCCCTCAGGGCGCCATGCCGGCCGCTAGCTCGGCCCCCCACTCACAGGCTTGACGTCCAGCAAGATGGAGGACTTGGCCACCAGCGCGGGCTTCTTACTCTTCTTCTCTGCGTATTGCCGCAGCCTCTCCTCCCGGAGTCGGGCGGCCTCCTTGTCCTCCTCCTCGTCACTGCCAAACAGGTCGATGTCATCGTCCTCATCATCCTCCGCCGGTGTGGCCGCCTTCTTTGTCAGGGGCTCCACTTGGCGCATGGGAGACACGTGCTGTGTGAGGAAGAAGGCTGAGGCCCACCCTGGGCCAGAGCTGCCTGGCTGGAAGCCCGGCCCAGCCCTCACCCAGGAGCGAGGCCAGCTCAGCCATCACTAGAAACCGTCCAGGAAGCCTGCAGGGCTAGTAGGCTGGCTTCCACTCCTCCCTGCTGCCTGGGGAAGCCCCCAGGTCCAGGGAGGGTGCTCACCTGGGTCTGGGGGGCTATGGCCCGGTGGGGGGGCGAGCTCTTCTCCAGCACACTCAGCCGGGCCTCCAGCTTGGAGATGGCCTGCTGCAGGCCCTGCACCACTGTAGGGGCAAGGCGCACTGGTCATCAGGGCAGAGGCTGGGGTGGGCCCCCACCCGGCAGGTCCAGGGCCTCACCGCTTCGCAAGTTCTGGTTCTCCACCTCCAGACCGGCGATCCGAGTAGTGAGCTCGCTGTGGTCTCCACCAGGCCCACTGGAGGCCCCAGGACCTGAACTCTGCAAGGCAGGAAGCCAGGGCTCAGCACCCCAGGATGGTGCTGGGTCCCCTCACTCCCAGCCACTCAGGAGAGCCTGAGGCTGGGCAGCTGGGTCCCCTTATTCCCAGCCACTCAGAAGCACAGTCCAAGGCTGCTGGGTCCCCTCACTCCTGGCCACTCAGGAGAGCCCGAGGCTGGGCAGCTGGGTCCACTTGCCATGCTTGGAACTCACAGAAGGAAAGACCACCCCAATGACAATGGGAGGCCCCTCCCACCCAGCCCTGCCCCCAGCCTGAAGACAGGCTGGCCTTGGGGCTGCCAGGGATCAAGGAACACTCTTGGCCATGTCAAAACCAGAACCGGGCAGGTGCCCCAGGGCAGTTAGGGGTGGCCAGGAGCTCTGAGCCAATGGCTGCTGCCCACAGGGCTCTAAGGATGAGTGTGCTCAGGAGCTAAGTGGAGGTAGTGGGACTTTCAGGTCCCAGGTGACTGGCGCAGGGCCTGAGACCCAGACTGCATGCCTCGACTGGGGCAGGGGAGGGGCTAAGTGGGAGCAGCTTAGGGCCAGTGGGGCAGGAAGGGGGTGGGGTGTGTGCCCAAGCCAGCACCCACCCCAAGTCAGGTGGGGAGTGAAGACTCAGGACCCTAACAGTTCCAACAGGGCAGGCCCCAGCCACCTCTGCACGGGTCAGAGCCACCTCGTGGTCTGGGAGCACCATGGGCAATAACTCCGTGTCCAGCCCCTACCTCCCGTACTGCCCTTAGGATGGGGCCTGAGACTATGGGGTGACACCTGCCCAACAGGGCTGAGTGACTTCATGAGTGGAGCCCTTCCCCATGCCTGGGAGCATTTGGAGACAAGGTTAGATGGTGGCCCTGGCCCAAGGTGATCTGGCAAGATATACAGGCTGGCAGTGGGATGCCCACGCCCAGACACCTGCAGAGGGTGGGTGCTGCAGACCAAGGAGGCCTGGGGAACTGGCCCTGCTCACACCCTGGGCTCCAACTCTTGCTGCAGGCTTGGAGGCAGCTTCAGCCCTTCAGGCCACGGTGTTACTGTGCTATGGTGCCCCATGCAAGCCAGCCCGAAGCCCCACCATCCCACCAGCATGTCCACCTGCCTGTCCTGGGACCAGGGCCTGCTGGCCACCTGGGCACTAGAGTACCAGTGTGCAACACACCTGCCTGGGTGCACGGGCCGTAAACAAGGGTCGCACAGAATAAGACTGGCCTGTGGCCTCAGGGGGCCTCAGGGAGGTCCAGCCTGGGGTCTGGGAGCCAGCACATCTACCCCATGTCACCACAGGACCACAGAAGAGGCAGGAAGCACAGGCGGGAGAGGCTGATAGCAATGGGGGCTGGAGCTGAGCAGAGGCAGGGGACAACCCCAGGCACTGGCACAGAGCAGGATATGGCTCTGCCAGCTCCAGACAGCACCAGGAAGCCAAACTTGACCCTGGCTAGAAGATAGGCTGTGGTGACTCATCAACAGCCTCAGGGGAGGGTCCTGCTGGACCCAGAAGGGCCAGAAGTAGGCGTGCAGAGCACAGGAGAAAACTAAGGCCACCTCCTGCAGATGGCTGGCAGGAATGTGGCCATGACGGGCCAAGAACTTTGCTAGTAAAAGCTCGAGATGAGGGGACACTCAGGTCGCCCCCAGACAGCTGCAGAGATGGGTGGTGGCACAGCGAGGCTGGGCTAGGGAGAACCTCTGTAAACAGTAGTGGCAGAGGCATGGCTTAGCTGTCCTGCAGTGTGCCCCCGGGGTGGAGGGAACGCTCTGCAGGGCCTGGTCGTGGGGCAATTCTTTTCTCTCTCATGTCTGCATCCCATCAAGGTTCTGGGCGCACACACATGCAGTGGTTTTCAAGTCATCAGGGCTGGGTTTGAGGGGTCAGCAGGTGACATAGTGTTTAAGGCACTGGGCTCCCACGTGACCAAAGCAGTTCAAGTCCCAGACCTGGTGGCTTGAAACTCATACATGCGCACGCACACCCAAGATCCTGAGAATGGAAAAGGAATGGCAGTACGGCCATACCCCCTGGGGAGTGATCTCTCAATTTCTGTCTCTGCCTCTGAAGTGAGCATACGTGCCCTATAGGGGGAAAGAAACCGAGCATGGCCGCGTGGGGTGCAGCTCCCTCTGCACACACAGCGTGTAGCTGGCTGTGCTGCAGGGCCAGGCCTTACAGACCTGGATCTTAGCTGAGGTTCCCAGCAAGTGCAGAGGGTGCAGCCTGCTCCCTTCCAGTTGAAAGGAAAGCAGGAGGGGCCGGCAGATGGTGTAATGCTTACGTCGCGGGACTCCTACAGTCGACCACAGCTTGAGTCCTGGACCCAGGGGCTTCAAATGCACACCAGACTCATGTGCGTGAGTGCCCCAATTCCAAGAGGAGAAGGGAGAAGGGACTGTGGCATGGCCATCCCGCCAGGGGGTGATTTTTCGCTTACTGTCTCTCGAGCAAGCACACGTGCCCTATAGCAAAAATCTCTCTCTTTAAAAAAATAAAAAAGAAAGAAAACGAGAGGAAAGAGACCAAGGGAGGATTCAGCACAAAGGAGCCAGGCCAGCTGCCTGCAAGTGCCCGGGGGGCCTGGAAGCCAGCAAAGCAGCGCAGGCCCAGAACTCCGAAGCCCTGGGGAGACACCAGTGTGTACACAGGTACCGGGGATCTCAGGGTCGAGGGCTGAGGGAGGGGCTGGGGATGGGACAAGGCACACTCAGGGTGCTTTCTCCTACACGTGTACATTGTCATCTCAACGGGCCAGGAGGAACGCTCAGCCTGCTGTCTGCAGGGAAGCCACAGTAAGGCAGCTGTCAGGGAGCTGGGCCCGGAGAAGAGGGGCGGCTGGCCAGTCTACTGCTCACACTGGGAGGGGTCGAGGCCATCAGGGTTGGCTGTCCCCTCAGCTATCGCAGTAGAGGCTGGGAGGGCAAGATTACCTAGAAAGCACCCGAGGAAACTCCTGTTAGCCAGGACCTCTGTGGCTACAGAAAGACCCAGGGTTCTTACAACTTTCTGCTAACAGAAACTGCCAGAACCAGAGGGACAGAGGCTGGACAGAACCAAGGGGACAGATGCCGAACAGCAAAGGGCCTCTCAGCTGCAAAGCTTGCTCACGGCAGGACTCGGGATGGAGCGGAGCACGGCAGAGAACTCCCTGCCTGAGAGCCCTGCCCAGCTCCACTGGAACCCCCTTCTTCCTCTCTCCAGGAACGGGAAGGCCTGTGACGTCGCCCCCTGCATTCCTGAGTGCATGGTATGGGCTGGGGCAGCCTCAGCTGCCCCAGCCGTGTGCCCCTTCTTCCTCAGGAGGACCACACCACAAACTCCCGTGCCTCCTACAGCCGAGGCTGCCAAGGAGGCAGAGGGCAGCTGCATCTGACGAGAAAGACATGAATCTTTGGGGGCCAGAGGGCAGACCACGCCAAGTAGACAGGTGCTAGGATTTGGTCCAAGTAAGTAAGGGTGGTGGCAGGCAAGGCCTCCCGGATGCACCTGGTCTCAGGCTGCTGAGCCCGAGCGAGCCATCACAGAAGCACAAGCTGCCCTCAGGCCTGTCCCTCTCTGCATACCCCACAGCTGTCCCACCTCCGTGTCCGGACGCAGGCCTGAAGACCCGGTGCTGGCCCATGCTGCTGGCCCTCCGCCAGGCCCACTTTCTATGAGCCCCGGTCCAGGTCTGTCTGCCCAGTAGCACCCGGGACCGAGACACCCAGCACAAGCAGGTAGGCAGGTACAAGTCGGGGTTCTGGGATGGAGACGGCGATGAGCCCGTGAGCCACTGGTGGGCCTGATGCAATCACCAGAGTCCAAGAGTCCTTATGAGGGATGCAGAGGATGGAGCCGGAGACAGTGGGGGCAGAGCAGGAGCCAAGCCCAGTCCAGAAAGGTGAGCACCCTGCAGCAGCTGGGAAAGCAGGACAGGGACCCCAGGCCCAGCCCCGACAGCAGCCTCGCTGTGGTGTCCCTGCAATCTGCAGGCAACACAGGTGCTGCCTCAGGCTCAGAACTGAATCCCGCATGGGCCACGCTGCACTCCTCCCCGAGGCCTAGGAGGGCTGGCTAAGAGTGGTAAGCCAGCAGCTGGCCGGAGCACCGGCTGATGGCAGGACACGGGGGCAGGCCGAGAGGGAGGGAGATGCTGGCAGGGGCAGCAAGCCAGGACAGCACATCCGCCCACCTCCCGAAGGACATGGTGTCCCCGGTCAGGCTGTGGCAGAAGCAGACATGACCGCATCTTCTACACCTGAGCTCGGTCCAGAGCCTGCAGGCTGAGCAGGGCTGCACCCCACATACCCCGTGAAGTCATGGACCCTCTCGGGGGAAAGCGAGACCTAGGAGGGGAGGAGGAAGGTCTAGCAGACACGCACTCATTCTACCCGCAGGGAGCAAGCAGGAACCAACAGGCCTCCCAAGCGTGTGACTGCAGTGTGCACCCTGCCCAGCAACCCCACTCAACCCAGCTCAGCCACAGCCAGCACAGGAGCAGCCAGGGCAACCGCCAGCAAGCAGGTAAGAGATGAGACAGGTGTAGGTGGGGACGTCTCCGGTGACAGTCCGAGCTCAGGTCCCGCCTGGCCTGGAGGCATGCTGCCCTGCATGCCTCCCTCGACTGCCCCCAGAGCCAATGTGGCCAGCAGGACTGGGGGAGAGCCACGCGTGCTGCATGGCCGAGCACCAGCCTGCGCGCCCGTGGGGCGTGGGCCATGGTACTCACTCCGGCCAGGGATTTCTGGATGTTCTCTCTGGCTCTCGCAATGTCACGGAGGATCACGCTGGCGCCATTCTCCTGCAGACAGTGCAGAAAGAACCAGTCTTTTTTTACATTAAAAAAAATGTACTTAAAAACAAAGGAAAAACCAAGAACCCTCAGAGAGAGCGAAAGCAGCGATGCACAGAACAGAGCTTGGCAGGACAGTGAGGCGGACGGCTGAGGTGGTGCGGGGGGCGGTGCGCACCCTGGGAGCCTGGTGTTGAGGCCTGGCCTTGCCAACCCGGGCACAGTACGGTGCATGTGCCACTGCGGTGTGCAGGGAGCAGGCCTCGAGCAGACCACTTCAGGAACCACGAGGCCCCAGGCCCTCATTTCAGCACCCACGAGCTGCCTGGCTGTCTGGTGCCTCTGAGGGCCCTCTGCCTGCCTGCCCGCCCGCTGCTGCCTCCTCGCCAGCTGCAGCCCCCACCTGGCGGGAGGAGCCGGCCACAGGCCCGTTCATCTGCTCGTAGAACTTTCTCTCTGCATCGTCGTATTTGAACTTGTCGAACCAGATCTTCTCGTGGACTAGGAAGTTCGTTGCCATCTTTCTGCCGGGAGGGGAAGAGAGGCTCAGTGGTCCTGCTGGGAAGGAACCAAGACAGCCAGCCTCACCCCCCACAGCTCCCGGACATGGTTCTGGGTGCTCGAGGCTCAAGCCCATGGAGGACATGAGCCTTCCCTGCAGAGGGCCCTGGGAGCACACTCCTTCCGTTCTTGGGAGGCCCCCAGCCGGCCCTACAGACCGTGGTTCTGAAAGCAGCCTCCCTGTCCAACCACTGGAGGCCGCAGACCACAGGGCCCGCAGCCTGAGTGCTGTGGGGGCTCCAGCTGCCTCCACCTGCACCTGGCACTACTATCGGCCTCTGGGAACCCGGAGTGGGGCCAGGCGCAGCGCAGCAACGTCGGCAGGACACAAACCCCCTGCAGTCCTACGGTAAAGGTAATTAGGGCCCTGCGTTCCTCGGTCTCACCACTCACGCAGCTGGGGCCCAAGCATCTGGGAGACACGGCTGTAGCCCAGGCCGTGCTGCCCCAGGCTGCGCACCCCGCCAGCAGCCAGGGCACACGGTGGCCAGAGCCCACGTCGCTTGCTCCCTAACAGTCTGCGGTCCACTCTGCCACCAGCGATCTGTGCCAAGGACCGCAGCCATAACCGGAGCTCCCCATGCTCAGTGGCTACCCTTACTGGGGCTACCTGAGCATAGGGAAGCCAGGTGGGCGAGCAGGGCGTGGGGCCCAGGGCTCAGGTCAACACTGCTTCCCTGGAGGCCCAGGCTCCCACCTGGGGCCCCTGATTCCTCCCCTGATGCACCCCCACCCCACACTCTTAGCCAGGGAAGCCACTCAGCTACGTGAGCCGAGCCGAGGCAGCACCAGCGGCCAGGCCATCCGAGCAGCAGACACCCTGGTGTCTGTGAGACCACAGCTGCCAGGCTGGCCAGGTGACAAGGGAAGCTGGGGGTGGGCAGCAGCAGACAGGTCACGCCTGGACCCTGGAGAGCTCAGGCCAAAAACCCAGCTTCAGTGGTTCTCCTTCAAGTCCTGGAGTCTGACAGTTAGACGGGGACTCCGGGCACGGGATCCATGTGCAGAGCAGGTCTCAGCCAGGGGCCACCTCTCCCCCCAACAGCCCACAACAGAGACCCCACAGATAGACAGCACAGGCATGCAGCCCCAATAGCCTGCACTCAGTGCCACCGGGCTCAGGTCCTGCGAGGCCCGAGGAGGGGCACGGAGCCCTGGCCTGGAGCAGCTGTCCCTGAGCCGGCAGCCGGGCCGGGCCGTGCATCCGCCCTGAGCGTTTCTCCTACTTGGGTCTCAGGCTGGACGGGGACGGGCCAGACCGCGGAATTGGTCGGTGAGCCAGGCTGGCAGCTTCAAGGCGCCAGGCCGCGCGGAGGGCCTCGGCGGCATGGTGGCTGCACTCGGCGCTGTCGTAGGCGGGCTTGCTGAGCCAGGGGGCCTCAGCGTCCTTGTGCAGGAAGCACCAGTAGAGCAGGGCAGGGGGGGCCTCCCCGTCAACCCTCCGAGGCCCAGCCCGCTTGCTTCCTGGGCCGCTGCGTCCCCGCCGGTCCTTGCGTCCCCGCCGGGCACCCTCGGCCTGACCCGCCCGCTCCTGTAGCCGCAC